CATTCGGAGTTGAGCCATGCCCCTTTTTTTTTTTTTTTTTTTTTTTTAAGAACTGACCATATATTTTTTTTTAAAGATTTATTTATTTATTACGTATACAGTGTTCTGCCTGCATGTGTCCCTGCAGGCCAGAAGAGGGCGCCAGATCTCACTACAGATGGTTGTGAGCCACCATGTGGTTGCTGGGAATTGAACTCAGGACCTCTGGAAGAACAGCCAGTGCTCTTAACCTCTGAGCCATCTCTCCAGCACCGAGCCATGCCCCTTCTTGTCTGTGACCTGGGATGAGTCACTTAATAGCTCTGTGGCTCGACTTTACCAGATGAAAATGCCACATGCCCCCTTCACATGACTTCCATTGTAAGACTATTGTGACAAATAAATTAATTCAAGGACTTTAACATAAGGCCAGATACCTTGACTCTGATGAGGAGAAAGGGGGAGTAGTCTTGAACTCACTGGCACAGGAAAGGACTCTGAACAGGACACTGATAGCACAGGCACTAAGATCAACAACTGATAAATGGGTTCTCATGAAACCAAAGAGCTTCTGTGCAGCAAAGGCACCATTATTCAAATAAAAAGATGACCTATGGAATGGAAAAACATTTACCAACTATCCATCTAACAGAGGCTTGGTATCTAGAATGTACAAGGAACTCAAAAAAATTAAACATCAAGAAAACAAGCAAACCAGTTTTAAAATGGAACACTGATCTAAAGAGTTCTCAAAAGGTGAAATAAAAATGGCTGAGTAATACTTTTGCAGTCAAGACACCCAAACACGTAACATAAAATTAAAACTAAAAAATTCAGCATCTTTACCCACCATAAAAATTAAAGCTGGAACTACTTTGAGTTCATCTTACCCTAGTCAGAATGGTCAAGACTGAAGAAACAAACAGTACAGATGCTGGCATGGAGGTGGGGAGAGGGGAAGACCGACTGGCTGCTGTTGAGAACGTAAGCTGGTACAACCACTGTGGAAATCAGCCTGGAAGTTCCTGAAAATCCATCAGCCACAGGATCCAGCTACGCCACTCTGGAACACACTCCCAAAGACTCCGTATCCTGCCTCAGAGACACCTGCTCAGCCCCGCTCAGTGCTCTAGTCACAATAGCTGGCTGGGAGGTGGAAAACAGCACAGATGCCCATCAGCTGATGACGGACAATGAAAATGTGCTACATTTACACAACTGAGTATTATTCAGTCGTTAAGAAAAATGAAATCTGCAGGTAAATGGATGAAATCAGAAACAGTCATTCTGAGTTTAAGTAACCTAGACCCAGAAATATAAATGTCTTCTTAAGATCTTCAGATATATATACTCCATTTGGAACACCTGTAGAGGTCAGGAATTTGGTAAGGATTTGTGGAGGGGGAGGGGCTTAAGAAGGAGGGGAGATAGAACACAGTAGTATAAAGGGTTAAAGAGGAATAAATGGAACAGGAAGGATTAAATTGGGGTTGGGAGGGAGGGGAGAGGAGGGAACATGGGAAGGGCGACTAACACTATTAAAGCCTTATGAAGCCCAACTGCTGTAGAAGCTTCCTAAAATATAAAGAGAGAGTTAATGTGTGTAAAATATAAGCATATGCATATGTGAAAGAGAAGTCACCCTACAGTAGGGGACCATGACCCAAGTGGACACCTCCTGCTAGCCAATAAAGGTTCCAGTGCTAGGAACGAGGTACCTCTTTTGGAGTTCGTTAGAGTCACATAGTCCCCACCATGCATTGTGGACTACTGCCAGTGCTCTTGGTTACCCTCCAGAACTTGACAGTACGACCCTACTGCTGGAGACACCACGTGAAAGACATACACCTCAAGCTGATACTCACCTGTGTAGATGTATCCAACCTTCTTATTAAATAATAAACACAGAACCAATGCAAAGAAGAAAGCCAAGAGGTCAGAGCTAAGAGCTAAAACCTTACCCTTCCTCCTGCGGTGGTCCTACCTCTCCGAACCAGAGCTACCCCTGTGTTAAAGTCTTTATATAGATTTCCTGTCCTGCCTTCTCATTGGTTGTAAACCCAACCACATGACCGCCTCCTCACAGCCTGTCTGTATAGGCCTCCAGGTTTTCCATGATTGGTATTAAGATTAAAAGCATGTGTATCCAATAATGGCTGTATCCCTGAACACACAGAGACTTACCCAGCTCTGCCTACCAAGTGCTGGAATTACAAGCGTACGCTACCACTGCCCTGCTTTCCTATGGCTTGCTAATAGCTCTGACCCCCGGGCAACTTTATTTATTAACATACAAATAATATTTTAATACAAATAAAATATCACCATACACCTGGAAATTTCATCCCTACTGGTTAGCTTCCACAGAGCTGGACGTTGCCTTGTACACTTCCAAAGGAAAAAAAAGAAACCTTTCCCTCACCTCTATGACCTCTGCAACCTGCCGTAATGGCCTACCCGACAAAAGACACTCCCTCGTACAAGAGCGGCCCAAATGTAATGGGAGCAGCCAGTCACTTTCCGATTGGATCTAAGGCCCCACTCCGAGAGATGGAACCCACACCTGGCACCATTAAAGGGACCAAGAACCTGGGGATAGATAGACCCTAGGCCCTAGGGAAGAATCAAGCATTATTAATCTGCTAAGTGGACATAGTGTTAGAATGACCCCTCATGACCTACTGCCATACCCACATGCCAGAGCATCCCTCAACCCTCACTGGAGAAGCTTCTAGTTGCAGTAAGTGGCAATTAGCCCTGAGAACCTCAACCAGTCAACACACAGAGGGTAAGAGACCGGGGAGCGTCAGCCCTAAATGGGACATATTTATCACATCCCTCCCCCCAGGGCTCAGGGATCTTGGAGGAAAAGGAGGCAGAAAGACTGTAAGAGCCAGAGGTGACAGACAACATCAAGGAAAGAGTATCTTCCAGACACAACAGGAAGCTGAATATATAAACTCAGAGAGTGTGACGTCGTGCAGAAGACCCACAAGCTAAGCTCCAGCCAGACAAAATCCCAGCAGAGAGGGGAAGATAGGCATGAGATCCCAGTCCCAGCTGAGGAGCTCTTAGCGTTTGATAGCTACTGGGAGAGGGAGACTCTCCAGAGAACTAGTGATATGCCACCTAGTAAGTCAACCACACTCCAGGACAGGCTCCACCCCTCAGACTAGTTAGGCAATGCAAACTAGAGTCAATGGGGGAGGGGGGGTGGAGAAGGAACTCAAAGTTGAGTGGGAAGAGAGGGAAGGGTGAAAAGGTGGATTCTGGGAGGGGCCAGGGGAGGGGTGGATATGTTCAAAATACAGTGTATGAAATTCTCAAGGAACTATTTTTTTGCACTCTGTTCTTCTGCCCACCCACCCCAACCTGATCCCTCAAGTTCCCGTGCCCACCCACCCCCAGTCCACCCAGGAGATTTCCTCTATTTCCCCTTCCCTGGGAGATCCATGTGCTCCCCCTTGGGCCCTCGTTACCTAGACTCTCTGAGTCTGTGGATTGTACCCTGGTTATCCTTTATTTTACAGCTAATATCCACTTATGAATGAGAACACACCATGTTTGTCTTTCTGGGCTTACGTTACCTCGCTCAGTATGATATTATCTAGTTCCATTCATTTGCCTTCAAATTTCTTGATGTCATTGTTTTTAACAGCTGAGTTATACTCCATTGTGTAAATGTACCACATTTTCTTTATTCATTCTTCTGTTGAGGGATATGTTTTCAAGTTCTGGCTATTACAAATAAAGCTGCTATGAACATAGTTGAGCAAGGTCCTTGTGGTATGACTGAGCATTCTTTGGGTGTATGCCCAAGAGTCGTATAGCAGGGTCTTGAGGTAGATTGATTCCCAATTTTCTGAGAAACTGCCATATTGATTTTTTAAAGCCTTTAAAAATTAATCAAAGGGAGTCCTTAAAACAATGCCTGTTGTGTAGTAACTGTTCAATAAACATTAACATCATTGTTGGAAGGGCTGAGGAGCTGGTCATGGAAGGGCTCTGAGGTTGACTCAGTCATCTCTGACTCTTGTCCACATTCTTGCCCACTTCCCTCTGTCCTCCTTCTGTGGCTCAGCAAATATCTCCACAGTGAGACACCAAGAGGGCCCAGGACACACTTGAAGGCCAACCATCTCAACTGCCTACTCACCAGGCAGTCTGTAAGTGGGGTAGTAGTTTTGTGTTTCATGTTAAAATGTAAACACGTGTTCATGTACCCTTTCGGCTGTTGAAGTCATCTGTCAGTCACTTGAGTATGAACAAGGTCCAGATCCTTTTGTAAGGCCATTATTCACTGGGAAGATGGTGTAGTGTGATGATATTGTGTTCCCCAAAATATTGTGCACCCTAATAAACTTATCTGGGGTCAAAGAACAGAACAGCCACTAGATATAGAGGCCAGAAAATGGTGGCACACATGCCTTTAATTCTAGCATTCCAGAGGCAGAGATCCGCCTGGACCTCTGTGAGTTCAAGGCCACACTGGAAACAGCCAGGCGTGGTGACTCACACCTTTAATCCCAAAAAGTGAGCCTTTAATCCCAGGAAGTGATGGCAGAAAGGTATATAAGGCGTGAGAACCAGGAACTAGAGCTGATTAAGCTTTTAGGCTTTTGAGCAGCAGTTCAGCTGAGAGTCATTCAGATGAGAAATAGGATCAGCTGAGGAAATGGTGAGGCGAGGCGGCTGTGGCTTGCTCTGCTTTTCTGATCTTCCAGCGTTCACCCCAATACCTTGCTCCAGGTTTGTTTTTATTATAAGACCTTTTAAGATTCATGCTACAGTGCAGGGAGCTTGTTGGGTATATGAAAGGAAGAAGAGAAACAAGGGGGACAATAGCACCAGGGTCTGTGGTTGTGCATTTCTTTTTTTTCTTTTTCTTTTTCTTTTTTTTTGAACAGATTCTGCCTTAAGTTTATTTGTAAAAACAGCATGGGGTCCTGATCACCTGCAAATAGTGTGTAGGTGCGTCACACCAGTCCGTCTGTCTTCACATTGGTAGACAGAAACCTTTTCTATGGGGCCTTCACAGGGGCCTGGGCTCCTTTGGGAGCCTGAGCTGGAGCTGAACCCTCTGCCTTGGTTTGAGCCTTGGGCTTTGGTTGGCAGAGCCTACGCCTACGACCCTTGGCCAGGTAGCTTCTAATCTGCCTCCCGAGCTTGGGGTGAGTGATGAAAGCGAGACGGCTGAGCCTGCGGCTGGGGCCCTTTGGCATCTTGGGCTTCACAAGGGCCTTGATGGCCTCTGCACGCGCACTCACTGCCTTTGCGTTGTTGGCCTGCATCTTCTTCAAGCCTTTCTTGTTGTGTTTCTCGGCAAAGTGCATGTTCCTCAGGAATGTGGGGTCCACCCCCTGAAGAGGTTCGTATCTTTGTGACCGGGGTTTCTTGATACCATTTCTGCGCCATTTTCGGGATTGGTTGTGTATGGTGTGGTTCTTGGACTTGGCCGGGTCGGAACTGTAACCAGCGGCTCCCAAGTGCCTGGGACCGAAGAGCAGTTGTGCATTTTAGACACAACCTTCTACCAGTTCCACAGGGGGACATTGGACATTTGTACATCGATAGTCCCTTCTAGCCCAGGGAAGATGTCATCACTATGACCTCTCTATTCATACAACAAGGAAATGGAGGCTTAGTGATGCCGTGTGATTTCTCTAAGATGGTTCAGCTGCTGAAGATGCTCAGGCCAGCTCTCTCAGGCACCTACCTTCATCTTGCCCATGGCCCAGTCTCGCTCCTCACCAGCAGGGCACTCTATGGCCCCAATTCCCTCCCACCCAAAGTCACACAGGTGGAGGCAGACAGGCCTCATGCTCTCCCTTCCTATTTCAGTCCATTCACTGAAGCACCCACGGCAGGCCCAGATATGTCAACTTAGAGAGAAAGGGAGGAAAGGTCATTGTTCCAAACCATTTGCAAGAATATCTGAGTTAAAAATGGAAGATTTGTCATTTGCATGGTGAAGGGAGGGGGGCTAGGAAGCATTGTTAGGTGTTGGTAATGTAAAAAACGTAAGTATGCTGTTATTTATGTAATTAGTTATTGCTTTCATTATGGGTGCAGTCTTAATGGTTATAGTATTTATGTATAATTACCTTAATATTCACTGAAATTTCCAAGTAGCTCCCTAATTAACTGTCTCAAATATATAATTACATTGCATCTTTCCGCAAGACTTGCCTAATTAATGTAGTTACACCACTTCTTTTGTGATGTGCGTTATTAAATGCTCTTTGCATCCTTCTTCTGACTTCTTGTAATTCACGCTTTACAGAAATTAAGACCTCGAATTAGAAGCCTCCAGAAGCAGCTCGGTCCTGCAGCAGAGCTGAGGCTCAGAGAGCCGCTGTGCAGACACAGCCTCATTAGGAGCAGCTCCCTGCACAGCCGTCCTACCTGGAGGTAGGAAAAGCCTGGTCAGCTGGAGTGAGGGCCTCAGGCTCACCCCCTTCTCTACCTCTGGCCACTCTCCTCCCCAGGGAAGACCACCCTGTGTCCCAGGATCTCTGTGTGATGAAAGGCCTAATCCTACATCTTCCACCAGGAACCTCTGAAGCCAGCTCTCTCTCTTTTTCTAATATGGAAATAGAGCCCGGCTCCACAGAAAATTCTTCAAGGATTAAAGTTAAACACAGCAGACGACTCAGCTGGCAAAGTTCTTACCTTGTAAGCACAAGATCTGAGTTGGAACCCAAAATTCCACATTTAAAATGCCAGGTATGAGAGCACACTTGTGATCCCGGCACTGGGGAGGTGGAGACAACTCCATGATGCTCACTGTCCAGCAAGCCAAGCCTACTCAGTGAGCTCCAGGCAGTGAGAGAGACCCTGACTCAAAAAAAAAAAAAAAAAAAAAGGAAGATGGAGCCTGAGGAGCAATAGCTGAAGTTGACCTCTGTCCTCCACTTATGTACACACCCACTTGCACACGTGGACACACACTCACGTACATTTAAAAACAAGACTTGAAGAGCTAGTGAGCATGAAGAGTCTGAAGCATGCTGTGGAGGCAGTGTAGACATGGGGGACTATTCTTAGAGCTCTACTTTGCCTCCCCACCAGGGCAGTCTTACAGCACATGCCACCAAGCATACCGCCCCAAATCAGAAGCTTAGAACAAGCCCCACATTTGGGCACCATGAACACACTTGGTTTTTTTTTTTTTTTTCTGAACTTGAAAGCTAAGCAGGCCCTGCTACCGTACAGATGGTAACTCTCCCCATGCTGTTCAGCTCCTAGTTGTGTGGCTGGATAACCAGGCCAGGCTCAGCTGAGGAACTCCTCAGATGGACGAGACTCAACTAGTTTTCTATCACAAGAGGGATGGCCGAGATCTTTCTCGTGCAGCTTCTCATCTTGTACTAGCCTTGTGGGGTTGATCATTTGGAAGCCTGAGGTCGGCAGCTACAAAGCCTCTAGACCAAAACCTGTACATCACTTTCAGAATGTCTCACGAGGCAACCCAGATTCAAGGGCTGGGGAGACAGACACCGTGTCTTCATGGGAGGAATCTGTGCCATGGTCTATAATTCACCATGAGGCTTACCTCCAATCCAGTCACATATAAGTAGTGTATCTCATGCATGTGTGCCGATGGGTGCAAATGTATCCAGGTGCATGTGCATGTGTGCTTACATGTGTGTGCACATGTTGCAGTTGCATATGCATGTTTATACACATGTATGCAGGTGCACATGTGTGTAAACACATGTCCATGGGTACATGTATATGCAAGTCCTCATGCATTTATGTGAGAATACAAATTGTGTGTGTGTGTGTGTGTGTGTGTGTGTGTGTGTGTGTGTGTGCCTAAGCGCCATACATTTCGTTCCTCAGGCCCCATACACTTTATCTTTTGAGACAGGGTCTCTCATTGGCCTAGATTTCAGCAATTTAGGCTGCTCTGGCTGGCTGGGGAACCCCAGGGTCCTCCTGTCTCAACCTTACCTGCTCTGCGACTACAACTAGGTCCCACTCAACTTTTTGTTGTGGGTTCTGAAGATGGAATTTAGGTCCTTGTACTGGGAAATGGAGGACTTTGCCAACTGAGCCATCTCCCCAGACACTCGTCTATTCTTTTGGAGGTGAAAATAGTTCCCTGATTAGTCAACAACCAAGGGCTTCCTGGACATCTTCTGTGGACCTGGTGCTGTGGAAGGTTTCCACAGGGAATCCAGAAGATGCTGACGACACAGGCCATTTCAGAACTGCCCGTGTCAATGGAGGAAGCCAAGCCGGCACAGAGGAGTGAGATACAAGCGAGTGTGAGCGCTGAGCTCCGTCCTCTAAGCATAACCACAGCGCTAATGCCCAGAGGCAAGAGGTCAATGGGGTTAAGAAAGAAAGCTAAGGAAGCAGGCGAGGATGGAAAGACCAGCACGGCCAGACTGCTGAAGCATGGCCAGAACGACACCACACGCAGGAGGCAGCAAACGCAGATGAGATGGACGTGAGGGTCCCACTGGAAAGGCCCAGCGAAGCCTCCAGACTTGATGCAGGAGTCGGCAGAAAAGCAAAGGAATCCGGACAGATTGTGCCCAAGACCCATCCATATTACTTATTTACTATTAAGCATAAAGTTCCCAAGAGTCTAGGAACTCAGCCCTTCCCAGACAATAGTTTGGTCTCTTAAATACAGCTTCGCTCCTCAGGAAGGATTTCCCAGCAGCTCCGTGTGTGCTCGTACACCTGTGTTGCACACTTAGATGTGCACACATGCACCTCGGCCCAGACTGGCCCCTGACTGTGCTTCACTGGCCTCAGAGACACCCCCACCACCTTGTGTTGCATTGTGTACTTCTTTCTGCATTTCCCTACAGGACTGGGGCTCCTTAAGGAGAGGCTGGATCCATTCTGTACCGTGTTTGCCACCCCCAGTTGCTGGGCAATGCCTGACACACAGCAGACCCTCAGTAAGTACCTGTTGGATTGGGTGAATAAGGAAATGGATGCACATCCCATGCCAGGAACCAATCATCTGGGTCTGGTCAACACCAGAACAGCACTAAACATGTTAACCAGAATAATCATGAACGCTGGGAGAAATGCCGTTGTATTTCATGATAATTCAGTAAGACCGCCACCACTGAGGCCAAATCAGCTCATCTGACTGTGTACCACACCTTGCCACTCAGAAGCCGACAGACAGGGTGCCCACGGCTGTCATCTATCAGTGCTCTGTTGGAAGAACATCTGTCTTTTATGGAGGTGGAAACCAAAACCAGAGGAGAAAGGGGGACTTACCCAAGACCAGTCGGCTTGCTGATGATAAAAGTGAGGCACAAACCTGTCTTCTGGTCTCAGATCAACCTTTGCTCCCATCACACTCACTGCTATGAGCCACAGCCTGATTGAGTGAAAACTCGTGAGACCTACTGTGAATTAAGATGTGTTCCCTGTTCCTTTCCAAGCTCTAAGGTGGTTGGAGAGACAAAGTATTGTTGGAGGTTTTTGCTGTTTTTTTTTTGAGGGGGGAGTCCTGCCACCCAGCTCCCAAATAAATCACACACAAGGGCTTATTCTTAATTATGAATGCCCAGCCTTAGTGTGGCTTAGCTTCTAGCCAGCTTTCCTTAACTTTTCTTATCCTGTCTACCTTTTGTCTCTGGGCTTTTCCTGTTCTCTTACTTCTGTATCTTACTCTTACTCCGTAGCTTGCTGAGTATGTAGCTAGGTGGCTGGCCCCTGGAGTCCTCCTCCTTCTCTGGCTCCTTCTCAATCTCCCTTTCCAGATTTCTCCCTCTATATATTCTCTCCACCTGCCAGCCCCTCCCATCCTTTCTCCTGCCTCACTATTGGCCGTTCAGCTCTTTATTAGACCATCAGGTGTTTTAGACAGGCACAGTAACACAGCTTCACAGAGTTAAACAAATGCAACATAAACAAAAGTAACACACCTTAAACTATTCTACTATAAAAAAGGATACAGATGAAATCATCAGACTTGATAGTCTGAAGTCACACAACACAGTTCATAGGACAGCCGTGTCTGCTAGCCTGTTCCAGTGTCTGCAGTACAAAGAGAAACACACCTTCCCTCCAGGACTTCCAGTGAGGAGGCACCACCACCCACTGTGCCATGCCAAGAAGTCATGCTCGTGGTGCTTTGCACGTAAAGACCAAAACACGACTGCACAGGCTGCAGTGGGATGGTCCCACCCAGGGTGGTGCAGCCCAGGTTAAGACTGGGTAATTGTAGAACTCAACACGCAGTGTGAGAACCAAGAATGGAAGTCTGGATTTGGATCTAAACAAACATAAATTCACTTCCAGCTGCTTGACTCACTTGCCCCACATTCTCAGGACTCTACAAGTCACCCAAGTCCCTGAAATTCACCTTGCTCAACTGTAAGGTAGGGTAAGAGTGAATCTTCTCTGATGGTTGAGAATGTTGTTGAGCATTTATTTATACGCATTTATTTGTAAACAAGCAAAGAGGGAAGTAGATATTAGGCAATGCTCTCTGCCACACCATGTGTGGACTCCATGGCCATCTGGGTGTCTGTTCTCTATGTGCATGAGCTCCCATGTACGTAAGTGCACCATGTGTGTGCCTGGTGCCTGCAGGGTTAGAAGACATCATCAGTTCTCCTGGGACTAAAGTTACAGAAGGTTGGGAACCATCATGTGGCTGCTGGGAACTGAACTTGGGTCCTCAGCAAGGCCAGTAAACACAACCACTAAGTTGTCACTCGGATTCTCCTTAATTTGATTCACCCCATC